AAATAATTCCAAACGCATATCTATCTCTGAAGGTTACAAATTACATTGTAATAGTAGTGTAAGCCATTACAAATGTGTCTTTCTCCATTGTTTGCAGCAAGTGTGAGATCTGTGCATGGTTATAGTGGGAGGAAATGGTTAAGAAAGAAGAAAAATTACAATTAAAATATGATGTGTTAATGCAGTTTGCTCAACAAACATCACTTGGCAAATCAAAACAGTTGGTGCATGCTGAGACCTGAATTTCTTTTTTTTAACAAAGTACACTTATATATTACATGAAGATCAAGCCAAAGCATTTTGTAAGAACAGTGTGCAGGTACTGTATTTTTTGTTTTACCATATCCATTTTAAAGGGCTGACTTGGAAACAGTGAATGGATATGTGTGTGCTTGTTCTGTGAGCCTTTTAGTACCTTTGATTTGTGTTTTCTCCTTCAGCAGGAGTAACAACACTGTCTTCAAAAGAGTGATCTGAAATTGTTCTAACCTACAGAAAAGGGATCAAATAACAACTTAAGCTATAAAACTAAAGGGAATAAATGAGTGAGTGGTTAATAGTAGCTTTTTAAAAATTGTTTTAAATTACATTCAGAAATTATTCTGAAAATATTAAACAGTGGCAATTTTCAAAATGATGAAGAAAAACCAAAGCTAAATGTGACTGTCAAGACTCTCTTTGCCTCATGTCCGCAATTACTACTGTCTAATTAATCAGTCTTTAATAGGCTGTTGTGATTCAGAAACATGTTCTAGAATGTCGCACTTCATGTTGCAGATTTGAGTCTCTTTCAAGGTATTAAAAAGGCATGTAATTTTGCAGAAACAACAACAATAGGAGGGGCAGCTAATGAAGGTTGGTATATCAATAGTAAAGGTTTCCTGACCCAGCAATTTTTAGCCCCTTTCTCTCCGGAATTGTTGAAGAAATATACCATATATCTCTTACTTCTTATCCATGGCTTATTTGTTGGGATTCTGGGTCATACAGTTTTGGAAGGAAAAATAACTTGTCAGTAATTCACAAGTCATTTCACAGGCAGAGTTCCATTTTGCCACCTGTTTTGTCTGATGTGTTTTTATGTGGGCACTGAGAAGCTGTGGCATTTTCTGTGTGTCACACCCAGTGCTGTCTGTTATCTTTTCTGCCCCAGATGATACAATTTAGTGCCTTTTTTCTGTGTATGGTTAAGATTAGGGCAAGGCTGTGAGCAAGGCAGCTGAAGATGTGTCTAGGTAAGATTGTGTGACTGGGACATTTATAGAGGTGAATAAGGGTTTCAGCAGAGGGATATGGGTCTCTTTGGGAGTGCTTGTCCATTACTGACAACCTGGGCCCCTAAATCAGGAGTGCTTTGCAAGGTGTTAGAACTGCCACATCTTCTTCCACAGAAGAAAAGCCTTGGAGACATCATGGCATCATGTACATTGTCTTTAGTTGCTTCTGAGAAGCACCCTAGAAAGGGATCCCTGTGCCACAGTGTTCTCGCATTTGTCTTATGATCCCTTAAGGCACTTCTGGTACAGAAGTGTGGTACTAAGTGTACACGTACTTGGGGTGCTCCTGGCAAAAATACCTGTCTCAAATCCATGTGACATTCTTCTTGCATTTATCCTGCCCCAACTCAATCTTTCTTATGCCCTTCTCTGCTTATAAGGGTCTTATTTGAATGCAGATATTAACCAGTGGTGCTTATAACACATCTTGTGAACCTGGACAAAAAGTCTTCCCCAGTGCTTATTGGTGAATATACTAGCAGGTCAATACATCAAATTTGCTTCCATGGATTTGGACTGAGGCATAAAGGAGATGTATGGACAACTTCCACTAGTTGCAGATCCTGGAGCACAAGCTAAAATTACTGTCCCCTCCATTTTCCTGGAGGGAAATCCTGGGGAAGGATTCTGGAATAACCTTTAACCGGGTGCTGGAGTCAGGCTTAAGCCACTAGAAAATTGCCTCTCTCTGACTCTGTCAAAAGATATCCTTTTAGCCATTGCCCTGCAAAGAAACCCCCTATTGCCAGTAACTTCTGGTAGGCAAATTACCTAGGAGCTTGGCCAAGAAAACTTACACCCTACAGTGACCTTTCAAGCTTTTCTAAATCTGAGATGGAGATCTACCCTGCTGTGGTCATAACAAGACAGGGAGCCTCATTAGGGAGGGGGAACAGGAGGATAGCCTTCTGCTCCCTGCCTGGGGAGGTGTTTCCAACCCAAGCTTCAGAAAGTGATCAAGGCATTTTCCACAAGGCACATCTATAGAAAATTAAATGGGATACTCACTTCCACTCCTTGGATGTCTGGATTCAGTGGGATACCTACCTCCTAGGTCCTTCTGGTGCCAATTAAATCTGTTCTTCACCCTTTTCTAGAGGCCTTTCTAAAAGCTGCCAGGTCCAGAAAAGCAAAAAGTGCTCAGTATTGTCAAGGCTGGAGTCTCCACTACTAAGCCCTGGTGCACAGATTGGATGAGTGCCTTAGGAAGAATCAGGGGGAGTATCCAAAGACAGGTGAGGGCCAGACCAGCTGGTAACAAACTTATTAATTCCTTCCCTCTCTTTTCAGTCCCGTGCCCAGGACGTGCACCAGGGATGCACACCCTGGTGCGCCAGCCTGAGAGTGCAGAAAAGGAACTGGCTCCATAGGAATGATAAGGTGTACTATGTTCACAGGGAGCTGTCAATGCAGCTTCCCAGATTTTCTGCACCATCTATGGATGCAGAGGAGTAGAAGGTTACAGCATTTTCCTTTTCCCTCCAAAAACACTGTGTGAGAATACTTTGTGGTTATCTTGCCCCACCACAGGCAGGAACTGAAGACCATAAATATGGCATATTGATATTACTTTTACAATAGTGTTTAAAAAATAGCAAGAAGTTAAAGTGGGCATGATTTTTGCACTGCAACAGTTACGAAAATGTTGGAGATCCTCTTTGGATAAACTCAAGGACTAGCCTGTTTTTTTCCCCTCTGCTCACCTGGGCCATATGTGCCTGCCAGGGACTGAGGCACTGCTCAGCACCTTGACCTCTTACAGTGTGTTGGCATCACTGCACTCAGAGCAAACAAGGAAAGAAGTTACTTAAGAGTAAAATGACAAAAGCATGCATATGTATGCAGTGCTAATTGGCATCACAGTGTTGGCCACAGCCAGCATAGGTTTTTCCTTATTAAATTACGGTACCATATTTCACTGGTCCTGTTCAAACACGGGAGGAGGAGGGGAAAAAGTGAGTAGTCTGAAAATCACTCTCATCTTTCACTCAGGCAGTGTTCTGCATGTTGCTCTGAATGTGAGGCAGGCTGTAGTTGTGCTACATGTGAAATGACTGCCATGCACTGCATGTCAGTCCCAGAGAGTCAGCAGCTAAACAAAATGGTAAGTCAGGTGAGAGATGTGCCTGAAACAGGTCAGGTTGGAAGGGCTTTAGCAGCATGTCTGGAGGTGTGGTTTGTGCTGCACTGTCTCATGGGCCACACAGCGATTTCTGGAACAAGGCTATAAGCTAGACAGTGTGGAAAAGCTTCAGGTACAATCAGGAATGCAGAATACTTTGGCCTCATTTGTAAGAAAGCAAGGCAACATATAAGCTGTGTTGCCTTCCTTACTAGGGGAGATCTGCCTGCTGCTGCTCTCCACAGTGCTCATGCTTTTTAAAATTAAATTATCCATTGTTTCCAAATTGGAAGTACTCATGAAAGTGAGGACTGGGATTCACATGTGGGTTTTATTTTTTATTATCGCTCTAGTAAGTGCTGAAGAGTTAGGAGATTAAACAAAATTACACAATACAAGTATGGGAAAAGTGAATAAAGCATGCTTCTCTAAGTAGGATGCCTTTAACTTCTATTATTATCAGATTAACCCAAAAGTCATCCTTCACCAAAAAAAGGTTGAAGGACTTTGTTTCCCTTCCAAGGCTACTTGGAGAGGAGGAGGTGGACCAGAATAGGATTTTTAAGCTAGCAAAAGCCCCCAGGATGACCCTAATGCTTAGCTTTAGTTATATGTAAAATTGTTTGTCCGATGGCTTTTTGGCTGCTGCTTTATTCTTGTATTCCTTTACTTTTAAACTGAATAAAGGTGTGTCTGTTCTCAGCCTGAAAATATTATTGATAGATTATTTTAGGAAGTTAAGTAAAAACTGGTTACTTGACTTCTGAAAGGAGGACAGGCACTGAAGGAAAATACTTGCTAAGATGTAACTTGTTCACTCTAGCTGCTCACAAGTGGGAGAAAATTGGCATAGCTCACACAAAACATTTTTACTGTTCTAGTTAAAACTTGATGTGATCTGTCAGCTGTAGCAAATATTTGTGCTGGTTTTTGCAGGTATCTGCCAGTGTGTGCCTGTGTGCGCACATGTTAAAGGGTGCCCTTCCCTTGCTGTTTGAGGGTGCCTGCAACAGGGTGGGAAAGAAGGATGTCTATTCTGGAATAGCAGAGAAATAAGTGGCAAAGGCTCATGGAAAGTGCTTCATTGCTCCATATTGGTAGGCCCAAAATAAAAAGTGTTGCATCTGATGGAAACATTTTCATGCTGTTGTCCTTTATCAAAAGCAGTCTGATTTCCAATCCTCCTTTTCAATAACCAATGAAAATTTTATTTGCTTTCTCCTCTCTGTGCCATTTGCGAGATAATAAATTTTTTTGCACTTGTAGGGGCATGAATACAGATTGATTTCAGAGATACATACTTCTGAATAGGTAGTATCAGTAGAAGTGTCAAGGCTGAAAGATAGTTCATTTGATTTGTAGAGTGATAACCAGATAAACTGGTAAGTGTGTTGCTAACTGAATCCAGTGGCATGCACCACAACGATTATTATGCAGGTAACTGCTTCATCCAACTGCCACTGTCGCTTAGTGCTGTCATTAACAACTAATGTGGTGACTACACACTCAGAACTACCACTGCTAAGTGTCCTCCCAGTCGTTTCTCTGACATAGAAAAAGAAGCATGCAGATATAATTATTTTTTTATCTAATGGGTCATTTGCCACTTACCCTGAAGAAAATGACCCATTAGGTAGAAGTAATGCTCCATGTTTTCACAAAGTAGAAGATAATTATGGGATATGAAGACCAGTTAGAAACCAGAATAATTATTTCTGTTATACATTTATTATCTCTGATGGAGCTTCAAGTCAAACAGGTCAGTAAGCCAAAAAATTTCTGAAATCTGCCCTTGGGTATTGAGTGATAGTGGTGGTCATAAAGTACCTGGTATTTTTTAGTTAAAGTGAATAATTGTACATCTCAAGATGCCATGTTATTTCAGACGGTTTTGTAAAACAAATACTGTTTGAGCTTAGAAAAAGAAGATTTATTGAGCAAAAATGCTTTTTGCTTTTGACTATCTCCCTTCTGTGATAGAGATGAATACAGTTTTGATCTTACATTTTGATTAATACAGTTTTTGATCTCTGAAGTCACATTCGAGAATTCTGACTAGGTCTTTAACAAAAGAAAGTTGCCTAAATTCAGCAACTTGCCAAAAAGTGAGAATATATATTCAGACTCATCTGCAAAGCCACTAATTCCCAAGCCATTCTGAGTTCCTGTCTTCTGCCTCCTAATTTAGGTGACTAGAGCACAGCTCAGAGGTTGGGGGAGACATGTTATGCAATGCTTGTTTAGTCTGACAGATTTTGGCCAACACATACCAACTGGAACTTAGCAGTCTAGCTAGTCTGCAAAGTCAAATTCTGCATAGACATGTTTACCTTTTTGTTAGCTATAAAACATGTTTGGGGGATTACATCAAATACTGTGCTTTGATAACAGGAGCTGTAGTCTCACCAATTTGGAAACTTAAATGGCTGATGCTTTGCACACTGAATTTGTACAGTGCAGTGGGTATGAAATTTTCCCTGTAGCTCATTGCTGTTTTAGGCCATGTCCTTAATGGATTCCAGTTTAACAAGGTGTAATATACTTTATTTGAGGTTATAACAATCTGACCTTCAGTTGTATGTAGCTATCTGAAATTGTATGTGTTTCACAAATGGATTAGATGAGTTTTTATAGTAGTTTAACTTCTACTAATTCCCTCCAAATGAACCAAAATTTCCTAATGTGCTATAGTTTACAGGTGCCTCCTTCTGGATCCATACTTTGCATTCTTGGGAAGAATGCAATTAGAAGAAATAAACAAATCAACCTGTGCAGAAGTTGATTACTTTGTGGAATACGTATTATCTTCCTAGTTAATCCTAAAATTCTGGACTACAAATCTGTTCAGGCCTACCCTCACCACTCAGAGCAGTGGTGTCATAATAGTATGATATATGAGGGTGTGAAGTGCTGACAGTGAAGGACATGAAATCTTCCTTTATAAACTTCAGTGATTCATATATTAAGTAATCTACTTCCTTGCGGCACTAAGTCACACTATAATACAGGAGTTGTTGGACATAAATCTGTTGAGCTTCTTTCATAGTTAGACCACAACTAATACCTACTGTCTGAATATTACAAAAGCTTCTTTCAGTGTCTCTTAAAAAGCACAGGTTTTACTTTCCTATTTGATAGAATCCTGCTATGGATTTTATACATGTAATACATTCTTAATTTATTGTACAGTTGGATTTTAACCAATTACCAGTATGCAAAAAACCCCTGTCATATTACTAGTAACATTTTGTATGTAGTCACAGACTACAAAACATCTATAATCTTTGTTTTTTTCCCTTAGAGCTTCTTCTTTTTTAGTAAATGATTGTATAGGAATTGGAAAACCATCATATCAACCCTTTTCTGTGACAAAAATAAATGAGATTTTAGGTTTTGTGTTCATGAAAAAACAATCTCTAAGGCTGAATAGAATAAATAAGATTGTTAAAACCAAGACTCCGAGACCTTAGGACTATAATCAACTTAAACCAATTTTGGAAATGTTTAGTTGTTGTCAGTATTTTACTGAAGAGAGCTTATTTAAAGCCAGTTAGTACTTGGCTTATATGCAAATATATTGTGTTAAGAGTCCGTCTCTCCATACTGCATTGTCACTGCAGCCTCCTCTTCTTGTCAGCCTAATGCTATCTTTTAAGCAGTGCTCTCACTGGATTTGTACCTTCTTATCCTAAAATGCTGGTTTCATTGGTTGTTATGGACAGCAAGTTGGCTATCATGAAGATGCACAGTTCCTCCAAGTTTTGTGAAAATTGGCAGCTGGGTGAAAGAAACTCAATGCCTTGACAGAAGGAGTGGCTGTAATATAAACTTGCGCTTTGTTGTAAATCAGATAATCAACATGAGAGAAAGAATTCTGAAACCTTGCAGTTTGCAGACAACCTGATAGGCAAAGCCAGAGAAAACCAAGCGTGGTTTGGTCCCCGTGGGTTTTTTTTCTGTACATGGTGCTGTTCTACCAGCTTAGGGCTTAGGAGTATGTCTGAAGTGTCCTGATCCTGTGAAGGACAGAGCTCTGTCCTTCTTCATGAAAGTTTTTCCTAATGGAGCAGAACCGGAAATTGCTTGCCCTTTTCTAAGCAGCAAAGGTCAAAAGTGAATGACACTATAGTGTGCTCATAGTTCTGTCCCTAGCTGTGTGTTGCCCTGACAAATTATGATTGATTACATTCATGACCATGTGTGAGTTTGTATGAGAGAGCATGTATGAGTTTTGCAGAGCTTAAAAGAAGTAGACATGTTGGAATGCTGTTTTCTAGAGACCTTTTGCTGCCTTTGTGCTCTGAAAATTATTCTGCGGGTTTGAAAAATGTAGCAAGAAAACATTTTTGCAGGCATGGATGCTCTAAATATTTGTTCGTTGAAGGGTTTTGGAATTCTTGCTTAAGACAGCCTTAAGACAGCTGGCTGATCATGTTGAGCAGGCACTGCTCCAGACACTATGTGCTTACAGGATGGTATCTCATGAAGTTCTGCAGAGTAGATGGGGATCTTGTGTGACTGCAAAAGGAAGTAGTGTGTTTTGTATATCTGTTGTGATACAGCCCCATCATAAAAGCACTTGAGAACTTCCATTAAATAAGGGTAATGACCCCTGGAATATAATTACAGCCAGCCAAGTCTACTCTCTCAATTGAAAAAAAAGCAATTAAACAAACTTGAACAAACCATTAATTTTACATGATTTTATTTGCTGTTTTTCATATGCACCCTACTCTCAGGATTTTTTGGGGGGTCTGTGTGTTTGTATTTATTAGATTTCATCTTCTTCAGCAGTCTGACATGGAACTGGGGTGGTCTAATACATGAAATATATTTTAAATAGATTTTTACCTAGCTTAATTTGTGAGGATTATATTATGTGAGCAAAACTCCATGATGCTGGATATTTACCTTTATTGTCATGATTTTGGGTATAGCTATGTCTGAAAGATATGGACTTTTAAAACAATTTTTCAGGCTTTAAAATCGGCGACAGTATAACCCCAGAGTTTCTGTAGGCTAACCCTTCATTTCTGAACCTGACACAGCAGAAAGAACAAGGAACTGGGAGCAGCAAAATTACTCTGGAAGACTTTCTCCTGAGAGGATGTCAAACACTGCTGTCACAAGTAGCTAGAAGTAGTGTAATGCTGCTTGAGTTCTGTGTCTTGCACCAGTTTTGCAAAACAGAGTTCCAGGCAGGGATGCTTGTGCTGGGAGAAGGTGGGTCATTGTCCCTGAGCTCTAATCCTCCAAGTTCGCAAACAGGAAAGGATTTCTCTGACAAGCTTCTTTTTCAATAAAGGTTAAAAACCAGAGAATTGCACTGAGAACAGTTGTAAATGAAAATGAATTTCAGTACTTCAGTGCAATCTCATGTACCACAGTTTTTTATGGATTTTAGCTTATTAAGCGAAAACCAAAAGCAGATTCTTTTGATCTTGGATACACCACAAGATCAGCATCTCTCAGTATGAATTCTTGGGGGAAAGATGACAACCTGTCAGCACTAGGTAAAAATTATATTATTGTTCAAAAAGATATATGAGTGAAGGTTGTGACACTGCTTAGCTGAGACTTCCACAAAAGACAGAGTCAAGAAATGAATCAGCAAGCATGAAGGAAGAATATCTAAAGTGTCAAAGACTAGACATCTGTTATGAGATATGGATTATTTTCTTGTCTTTGATTTCAGCCAAGACTCCTTTCTCAGGCTACTCTGTGTTCTACTTTTGGGAGTGTAATGATTAGAAGTATTTGGCTATTCAAGTCCTTTGATTAAGAAATGAGGAGTGAAAACAAAAAAATACCATGAAATAAATTGTATAGTATCTTTGTCTTTTTTTGACCTTCCTTAGTGTAAACATAATATTGTAATATATTAATAATTTTCACTGTCTGTTCCCAGTCTTTTTTCTTTATTTATTTTTAATAGGTTATCTGATAAACCCTTATATAAAAGATTAATTGAATTTTTACTGATTACTTGAACATATTCTTGTTCATTTTTTACTGTACGTGAAGTGCAAACTTTTAGGTTTTGTACCAATGGTCTTAATTTCAACAGGGGAATGAAAACAAGTTTGTTTGGCTCTGATTCTGAGCTATTTGGAAATAATCTTTGTAGGGAAGTATATCTGTTACTTATGCTGTTAAGAGCTATTGTCCTTCTCAAATAATAGAATTTATGGCAGCAATTAAGAGACAGCATGTTGCATCAGCCATCAAATTAAAATTGTTCAAAATGGTTTGAAAATCAGAGCTGCTTGCGCTGTCTACTGACTTGAGAAAGACAGAGAAAGTGCTGAGAAAACTTATAAGTAAGAAAGAGGAGGAAGGCAAAGAGAAAAGTAGATGTGGGTGCACAATTGTAGACCAGTCAACTAATTACAATTTCCAGATAAGTTCTGGAATAAAAATTTCAAAGACATTTAAGTACTTGAAAGATCAAAATGAGATGAATTATAATCAACAAGTTGTGTTGAGCCAGTATTATTTCTTTCTTTGTAAGGATAAAATCATTTGAACAGAGAGGAAACAGTAAATTTAATCTGTCTTGGCATTATTAGGGCTTTTGTTATTGTTATTTATGACATGCTTGTACAGTAAGAGAAATATGGCCAAGGCAATGCATAACTAGCTGGGTGCGTGACTTAGAATTCAGATTTCAAACAAGCTTGTCAATGAGAACGCTATGAAAGAAGTAGAATACATATTTTGCAAGCGTCTGGTTTGTGTTCCATGCTAACCCGTGTATTGCATTGGTGATGGAGACTTACTTTTAAGGTCTCAGATGCCATGGAACTGTAAAGGGTATAATCCATGCTGTAGGACGGGATAAATACTACAACTAAACTCACTGAGCTAAGGAAGTTCTGGGGGAAGGAGAAGAGAAATAAGTTTTTCAATGGGAAGACGTGAAAGATCTGCAGCTGGTAAGAGTGAGCCAATACAAAAGCAAAACACAAACTAGTGAGTGTGACTCTAAAGAAATGAATAAACATTGGTTTTTTCTGTGCCATCTCTTTCTGTGCTTTTCCCATTACAATATGCATGAACAGTGCATTTTCTTCTGTCCTTTATGACATTTGCCTTGTGCCTTGGACAGCCTCATTCTGGCTTCATGCTTCAAAAAGACTTTTGCTCCTCCTTCATTTCGTGTTATATACTTTCTTGATTTCAGATTATTGAGGAACCATAAGTGATCACTTTTTAAGTTTCCTCATTTTTTTTTTTGGAATGGTTCAATTTTTTAAATTTTTTTAAGGTGTACTTCTTTTCTGCCAGTGAAATACAGTCAGTTCCTTGAAACTAGTGTCTTCTGTCTTGGTGTCCACTGCTCTTCTTCCTCTTTTTTTCCCCAGAAATGTTAAAGTATCACATAATGAGTCTACTACTTGACCTGCCTATGTATGCACAGCTGATTCTCCTAGCAGCATTGCTGACCATTCGAAGTCTTCTCTCACTGCTTTCTTCATATCCTCTGCCAAACTCTTCCCTGCAATCATGAGTAGAATTTGCTTTTCTTCACCAACAGAGACAGACTTTTGGACAACTGTATAGGTAACTCTTCTGACAGGATGCTGTCTCCTCACCTTCACCAGGTCACTTGCAGCATAAAAAGTTCCACTATCCCTCTGCGAATGGTGTCCTCTCCTGGCACAAGGCAACAGCATGTCTCTTCTCCACCAGGCTTACTCTGCCACTCATCCAGCCTGCATGAATTATCCAATCCAATCTCAGCTACGCTAACTGGCCCAGGTAATCACACTTCACATTTAACATGTTTAGAGGCTTCTCTTCAGATTCCTACATTTCTTTCATGGGTACAGATGTCTGACATGTTCTGTAGAAAAACTGTTTGGTTTAATTTCCTTGCCAGGTTGTATGACTTATTTTAAGGAATAATCATGCCAGATCACTTTCTCACTTCTGGGCATAGAGAATTGGCAGATCATCAGAAAAAACATCTCCTGTGAAGAGAGGAAGTATTAGTGGTAAGACGCTGTTGAAATACAGATCCCGAAGGAGACAACTGGAGCATATACAAGAAAAATAAAAGTTGACAAGAACAGATGCAGGCACTTGACATTAAGGGGGCATAGATCCTCTAGCGCAAAAGGAAGTTAACTGGCTGAATTTTGTCTACCAAAGAGGGAAAATGAGACTGTTACTCATAGATAAATCTAGAGACTGAGCACAATGGGAAAGAGCTAGATAAACTAATGGGTGATTGATGCATGTAATTAGTTTGCAAATAACTTGGGCTAGTCTCTGGAAGATGGCTTCTAACCAACAGAAGAAACCACATTTTTGTATTTTAGCCTTTAGCCTATGTTATGGTAGAGATTGAAAAAAAAAAGCTGTAAGAATAATATGAAAACACTGTTGCTAGGAGGTTGTAGAAGACAAAATAAAATGGCCTAATAGTACTTTCCAGTCCTGAACTATAGAAAAGACTTACAATACACTACAGGTTGTCTCTCATACTCACTTTCTTTTTTTTCCCCCTCATACAAGCATTTTTATATCCTCTACATAATTAAAAGCAAGAACTGATTTAGCAAAACCACACTAATGTACCTGCTGTGATTCTTTGAAGCTGGGACTTAAAAGGAGTAGTTTTCTGGTGAGAGAAAACAGTGTTTCTTTGATTTTAATGATTATTTAAAGAACTAACTGGTAATTCCTGGTTTTGTTTAGTTTACTCTTTTTCTCCAAGAGCTGATTACTCATCTTAAAATCAATGGTTGCCTATTGACAAGCAATTAAGATATAATTTGATTACCTATATACAAATAAAATATTGTCTTGACCTTTAATGATGGTGAGAAACCTAAAATAGTGATTTTATCGGAGTTTGGGAGGTTTTAGCAAGACACATGCATAATTTTTGACATTCCTGTAAGCCTCTCACAAATTTCTTTTTATGCATGGAACAATTTGCATTATGTAATTTGTGTTTATGTTCAAGTGTGAAATAAGGAGGCACACTTGGGTTTTCAGCTTGTTTTGGTTTTTTGTTTTATCCTTTCATATCATATTTTAAAAAATATTTTTGCCAGAAAAAATATGATTCTGGGCAAGTCACCTTTGCTGAGAGCTCTGGCTCCCTGAGAACCACCAACATTAGCAGCATCAGTTTTGCCACTTAATTCTTCCAATTAGGAGGCTAAATTTCTGGTAGATGTGAATTTGCTGATTGTGAATTGCCTCAAAATACTGAAAGAAGGCATTGCAAAGACCAGTCACAAGAACTATAATGAAGGTATGTTGTTCTTCTTGATTAATCTTCATTTGTCCTTTCACAGATTCATGTTATTGCAAATTAGATTCTTTACAAGGGGTATTTGTTTTTCTGGAAATTAAAAATTGAAAATACAACACATAACAAGTGTAAGGGAAAATATATTACCACCATAACACCTTAAATTTATGAAGGGCATGAATTTTCAAAAGATGTTTGGTTTTTCACTAGTACAGAAGTTCAAATGAAAATTATTGCTTTCTCTGAAGGGACACCATGCTCAGTGTTACTATTATTTACGTTATTGCTAGCATGAGTGTTCACACAGTATGAAGGATTAGGCTAACTGAACAGTTGAACTTGGGATAATTAAGTAGCCTGCTGTGGATTGGATTTGGATTATACAGACATATTCAAGCCTAGAGTACATGTGGGAGAGGTAGGAAGTGTCCACTCTTTCTCCCAGAGCACCCATATTACTTATTTTGGCTGCACTTTCCCAGGAAGCAGTTGTTGTATTTATTTGTTCTCTATGCAGACATGGAGGGATATTCAACATGTGCTGGAACACACAGAGGCCAGTGGAGGCTGGGAAAAATGCAAGTAACCCTCCTCTAAGGGATGCTTCTGCATAAAATCATACACTTCTCTTATTGACAGTCTTGTGGATTTTTTTTTTACTTATCAGTTGCAATATCTATTACTGCTATATAGATAAAAATGAACACATCACATAAAAATTACTTGCTATAGTTTATTAATGAGCAGTAAGACTAGTGAGTGGCATTTTAAGTGCTACAGAACACTCCTGTGATGCCAGTAATGCCATTACTTTCCTTTTTGTATTTATAAGGATGTACAACTTTCTTTTTAAAAAATAGCTTTTGTAAAAAAAATTGAGTTTTTCCATGTGGTTTTTACTTTAAGTGCAGTGATGAATATGGCACGTAGTGGAATTCTGACCTGTTGCTTATTTTGATATGCCATATCAATTAATACCTCATATAAATATCACATAGAAAACTTAATGTGGAAGTGAAATATCAAGGTATTATCTCACCAATCAAGCTCAATGTGAGAGCCATTGGTAAGGATTTAAGTCTGGATGATGCCTTTTTTTCCCACTGGTTCTTGTTTCACTTTACATTTTCTTCTGCTTAATGAAGGAAATAAAGGACTTCAGATCATGAAGAACCATCAAATAAACATGAGCATTTAGTAAGATGATGTCATATTTTATGGATCAATGGAGACCTGAATTGAAATATGAAGGAAGGAAAAGAAAATCTGTATTACTTCTGTATATGACATTAGCTATTCCCTTACCAGACTGCAGTGTCACTTTTTTATTGCACTCCTATGAAAGAGGCACGGCAAAAAAAATTGAAACATCTCAGAAAACAACTGCAAGAATGAAATATAAGTATTGTCTTCAATATTGGTTCTGTTTATTTTAAAGGTAGTCATTATTTTTGTGATGCTGAGTGCTGAGGGAGAGCTCTGGCAAGAAGAGCGTCTTCCATCTTCAGGTCTGGTGCACGGAGGAGCTAGAGGTTGGTGGCAAGGTGGATATCAGATAGGCAGAGTCGTGGAAGTACTGAGGAGGGAAAGGAACCTTGTGAAGCTTTGCTGAAGTTTGATGAAGAAATGCAGTATTGTGCTGTTGAGTGGGGTGGTTTACTGTAGGAAGATAGTGAAGATAAAGGAACTATTTTTTTAGAAATCAGAACGTGAGGTCCTTTTGATCTCTTTAATGAAATAGTTTATCTTATTAGTACGTACACTTTAGGACCAGGAATATATAAACGTGTCTTCGGTATGTCCTCTGCATAGGGAAAACGTTGCCTGTGGCTCATCCTCCACGAGAGGGAGCCAGAACTGTCTTTAAAATGTCAGCAGTAAACCCTGTCAAACAATACAGCCTAAACTCGACCTGAGGCTCTGACATTGTCTTCTGGCAAAGCCAGTGTTTTGCTCAGACGCCGGTATACATCGAGGTGCTTCTGCGCGGACTGTGCCCACCCTCGCGTCAGGGCAGCCGAGGCTCCCGGTGCCGCACGGCAGCGAGAGAGATGCTCTGACCCACCCCGACTCCCACCACCTCCTCCTCTTTCTTCCTGTATACTCGATGCATACTGTGCCGAGAAATTATTAGCAGTGCAAAGAAATTCTGCTGTGGCTGTGCAAAGACGCAAGGGTCTCATTGTTATTAGCCCTGTTGGGATAATCAGCAAAGAATGCAGTGCCTTATCTGCAAGCGTAGTTTATTGTTCTGCATAGATAGCTGAGGCAATAAATGCAGGAGGCAAACTGGGGGGTGAAAATGGAATTAAAATATGCAGCATCTGGCTGTGCAATAGAAAGTAAGAACGGGGTTTGGATCATTGAGCTGGATGCATGAAGCTGTACTTCCTACTGACTCAAACTAACAAAGCCTCTAATTGCATTCCTTCTTCCAGGAATACATGTGCTACACAGAAAGAAAACAGACTTAGAAAATCAGATAGCGGATGGTAATGGATTTCAGAACAACCTGGAGTTTTGAAATTGACTGCAATAAAAATTAACCGATCTGAAATAAGAGTCAGTGATACTAAAAAATACCACTGCTAAAAAAAGGTTCTTTGGCAAGTAAGTGTCCCTTAAGGAGGTTAGCTGGAACTGCTGGTTGAATCCCATGCTGGAAATGCTAACTGAGCAAGGGTGTACACTGAGAAACCTGTCAAGACACTTTTTTCCTGGGAGGTCAACAAGTGTCCAAAATCTAAGGCAGAGTTCTGCAAGGAGGAAAACCTGTAGGTACATTAAAAAAATGAGAAGTTATGGAAAACTTTTAAAAGAACAAAATATAAAAATACCATTGCTTTCAAGTTAATGATATTAAGCTAAAACAGTCACATTTTTGCAGTGAAAACTGTTGTTTATGGCATTGTTGAATGTTACAAACCAAAAACAACATTTCCTCAGGCATGAGGTGGAAGAATTTCAGGATTTGACATATATGTGTGTTAAAGAGAAAGTACAATGCTAACCCTTTATTCAAGAGCAAACCCCTACAACTACAGAATCACAAAATATGTAAGGTTGGAAGGGACCACGGTGGATCATCCAACTTCCCTGCTTAAGCAGGCTCATCTTAAATCACATGGCACAGGATTTTATCTAGACAGTTCCTGAATATCTCCAATGAGGGAGACTCCTCAACCTCTCTGGGCAGCCTGTTCTAGTGCTCAGTCACCTGCACAGTAAAGCAATTCTGCCTCATAATCAAGTGGAACTTCTTGTACATCAGTTTCTGTCCACTGCCTCTTGTCCTATTACTTGACACCACTGAGAAGAGACTGGCTCCGTCTTCTTGACACCCTCCCTTCAGATACTTCTAGACACTGATGAGGTCCCCTCTCAGTCAGTCTTGTGTCTGATGGACCCAATTGCCAGCGCTGAGGGGCATTAAGGGCTGCTTAAAAGAATGAATGAAAAATTTTTACTTAAGGCAGGGGATATGTTCTGGATTGTAAAATATTGTTGTTATTTGGGGGGGGTGGATGTACAAATATTTGCTGTATCACACCCCAGGGTGGAATTAGTAACGTACCTTCCTCTTACTTGTATTGTACTGGGGGATGTGGGAGGAGGGTGAAGCACTAGGCAGTATCTTGTTTGTTTGACTCCTGAAAACCTCACTTGACATACATAAAACCGACCTTATTTTAACCAGAGACTGAATTTGGTTACTTTGGTTTTGCCAAGGCCAAAAACCTTTTTTTGTTCAAAGTCTTCTTGTAACAGACATTGCTGCTGGTCTCTCCACCATCTTGCCCTTTGGTTTGCCAGAAGACCAAATTTTGGTGATTATCATTATCCTCATGATACGCTTGAGGATAATGCAAACAAAGGGAATATTATACATAGAGAATAATATTGACATTTGTGTGTGGCTCACAGTGTCCCTGAAATTACACTGAGCAAGGTTATAATTCTGGCTTCTTTGTTGGATTGGTATGCTGTATGAATCAGACTGAGTCTGAAAAATATAAAGTGCATTACTAGTAAGCTCAGACACAAAGTAATGTGTGGTTAAAACTTATAATTAGCTTGCAATTAACAGTTAATACAAACATCTGGACGCCAAAATGCATTTAAAAACTCAGAAATTGAATCTGTGCTCAGATTTTTATTCAACCAGGTCATTTTATTGAAAACATCCCTTCAGATTCAGTGCAGTACCTTTATCCTCTTTTTTATGATAGCAGTCAGATGACAAAATAGTTGTGTGGGAAGAAATATTTTTGAGGAAGCATCTTAGCAAGCACCTTAATTGTTGGGTAAAAATAACTTTCTGTTTGACAATGGAAGAAATACTTGCCAAATACCAATGTGAGGGGTTTTGAAGATTGGTGTTATATAAATATTATGAAATCATAAAGCAAACATTTTCAATGAGAAATATATTTCTCTCATTTGTTCTTCTTTCTTTTTTTAATTCTTTAAGAAAGAAGGGCAAAAAATGCCCTAGGAACTCAGGAGTTAGCAAATATGCTGGTATACTTACTGAATTCTTTTTTTTTTTAAACTAACAAAGATGAAGCAGAGACTATGCTGACCTTTATGAAAGAACAGATCCATGGAGAAAGAAGTTTTCTGCCAGATAGGAAGCTATCCTACTCAACAGTTAAAGGTAGTGAAGGAGGATGTTTGTCATCTGTTATCCCAGTGAGTGAAATGCAACTGCAGGGTTGCTGTTTCTCTAAGGCTAAAAATGTACTGACACAGAACAACTCATTTACAGAAACTGTAAAATACTCTCCTGCACTTAGTTTAATCAAATAAGCTGGCTGTCCGTTAGTGTTTCAAAGTAATCTTTCAGTTTAAAATATTTATTGTTTTTCTTTCAATATTTATTTTTCTCACTGTGCACATAAACCCAAATTTCATATTCTCATTATTATACTACATAAATCCTCATGTCTGCTCTATATTGCAAGGCTCCCTGTTAATCATTTGCTTATGCAAAAAGGTTTGCTGATTCCCAGTGCATGTCTGGGTATCAAAAATAGTTATAGATAATCAATATTTAATAAACCAAAGAGTGACAATTAGAAATCTCTGGTGGATATAGGTGTAATCAGAGTACAGACAATAATGCTATAGCAACTCCATGTAAACACAAATGATTTTACTGTACGATAGGTGATTAACCTATGAAATTAAGAACCCCAAAACCAGCATGGTACATATTCATTTAGAGAAAAAGAAAATACATCTCATATAAAAAAGACATCTTGATTTTATGTGATGAGAGAAAACTTCCAGACTAGTAGGTACCTGTTAGCACCTTGTCTCTCTTTGTCATTTTTTCTTACAATAGATTGCATTGCTACGAATTTTCTCTTTTGTTTATTAAAACTTACTTTATAAAGCCAACCAAAACCCCATGGTTGCAAAAAGTAATTATTACAAAAAGTACTAATGAGACCGTGGCTTCATTTGTGCTATGTAGTGCTCTCATTCAATGGAATTCGAATTAAGCTCATGTGAAACTGAATGTAAAAGAAGAACATTGCTACGTAAGAAGTTGCAAGTTCCCAATAAAAGAGCTGAATCATTATAAAAATGAAATTGCAATGCCTAAATACCCAGCACAGTGGATAATGAACAGAACACAGCTTTCCCACACTGACTCTGAAATCCAACTAATCAGAGCATTCTCTTCTGAAACTAAAGTGTGGAGTTAAAAATAAGTCCAGCTAAGCAATTTAGATGTTTTGGTGTAGATCATTCTGATGTCTGTACAGCACCTCATATGTCACACGTCCGGGAACTGTTTCCTAAAGAAAATAAGCATATACTGTTGCAAATAGATTTCATGATGGTGCCCGGGGATGGTGTAAGTTCAATCCCTTTTAGCAATTAGAATTTAGGAACTGACTGTTAAGAGCCCATATGCTTAGCTTATCACAAGTAAATTATTTATCAGGGAAAACATCATCACTGTATTAAATAGATGAATTATTACAAAATAATTATTTCACTTTCCCTTCGAGGGAAACAAACCTACTAACAAACAATTGCAATTGTTGCAATACAGAGATATATGGTTATGTGAAATAAGATAAATTCAGGATTTGAAGTAAAAGAATCTATCTTCTTTGTATGGCAGTAATAACCAAATACCAAGAAACTTCAGTGTATATTATTTATGAATGTGTATAGATATACCTACATCAAATCAGATGCTAAATCACAGAAAGTAAGGATGAAAGGCAGTTTAATATTTTGTCTGTACACTGAAACTGGTGAACTCCTCATAAACTTTCCTTGCTCCACAGCAGAAAACCCTTTTCTTTTCTCTGTGAATAAGAACAAAAGAATGTGGACTCCTTCCATGAATTTTAAGAGGAAAAGGACAAACTGATAAGGATCATTGTGATAACAAATGGGACTTAAACACATGCCAATGGTGTTGATACAACCAGAAGCTTTCTAAAATTATTGGGGTTTGTCTGCATGGCATAATAATATATGAAAACTGAATACAGATAATAATACTGAACACAAGTTGTCATCTGAAAATGATTATTGAAATGCAAAAAATTTTCCATGGAATATAAAAAGGGTAAGGAAAACAAGCTTTCATCTAAAAGGACATAAGGAAATACAAGATATTTTGGAATGTATAAACAATGCCTCAAGAGATTGCTTTAATATATTTAGGAATAAAAGAGAATTAATAGCCAACATTTAAAAACATAATCAAAATTGAAACTAAATATTCTTTGTTAGTCTTGAATTCGTTGATGTACATATGAATGTGTTATTGAAAAGCATGGTTCTAAATAAATTTCCCAATAAACATTCCCTAGAAACTATAAAGTACACATTTAGTGAAAAAAGTCTTATGTAGAATGACATTTGTAAATGATAAATGAAAACAATCTAAAGGTAGAAAGTCATCTTTACCAATGCATATAACAAAAGGAGATAGCTGGTAAAGATACATAAAATTAATTCATCTATTTATTTCGAAATATGGCTCTCTGCTTTCCAATGAAATGAAAAAGAATGATGGGTCAACTGAATCCCTGATATAAAGTTCTCCTAGAAGTTCTTGATTCTGGGGCTGATGTTTGCAGGCTGAAATTATTTTTGCAGAAGTTCAAAGATTAGGTGAATTCCTGGTATTCATGCAAAATTCAACTCAGTTGTAATTGTATTTAATGGCACATAATGTATATACACACATTTGTACATAATTTTTTAAAATAATGGAGCATATATCTTGTTTCAAGTATATGAAGTTTCAAGCTAACTGTAGCAGCAGAATATGTAGTAAACTGTAAGTCTTACACCTGTTGATTTATCAGTGTAGGCTACACTGTTTTATATCTGCTGAATCAGAGAAAGTTATAGTAGCTCATGGGATTTTCATCTCATACAGATATTATCCTGTTTGTGTTCTTAAATATTAACATGATATTTTAATTAAATGTTGAGCAAGATAATTTTTTCTACTCTTTTTGAAAGCAATTGAAAAATGAAAGATAGTTTCATGTTATTTTAGAGTATTC